GCCCCCGGCGGTGGTGGCCGCGGGGTGGAGAGGGAGCCCGGCTGCTCCGCGAGCTGGTCTTCAGGCCCTGGGCTCTGTCTGGGGTAAAGACTCGATTTCTGTTTCTGTAAAACTCGGGTCACATTTTGATTTTCTTCGATTGTAAAAAAAAAAAACCAACCAACCAAACCAAACCAAAAGCAACCAACCCTCTGCCGCCGAGTAGCTGCTCAGAGCTCTGTACCTGGCTGGTAAAAATGATGACCGAAGCTCGCTGCCTCCTGTGCTTCCTACCTTATGGCCACAGCCTCGCCACATGCGGCAGCTGCCCTGCCCGGCGCTGTTGGGCTCTGGGGCAGGCACAGCCCCCGAGCGGGCTGGCTCCCGGCACTGCTGCCTGCTGGCACTGCTGCCTGCCCACAGGGTGGGCAGGAGGCTCGGGCAGCACTAAAACAGAGGAGCAGGGCTGGCTGCCAGCTCAGCCACCTCCCCCTGGACAGACAGGCACACCCACGTGCAGTCAGCTTGACATTTTATTTGGGTTTATGACAGACAGACGGTTCCCGAGTCAGTGTTTAAGGCCCGCGCCCCCCACGGCCTCAGGACAGACCCATGAGTGCTGCCTGGGCTCCTGGCCAAAGAGCAGCACCACAGCCTCGGGAGGGCTGAGCGCGGAGCAGGGGGTGCCCGGGCAGAGCAGGGGACGGGACCCGCCTGGCTGCCAGGCAGCTGTCCCCAGCTCTGTTAGCAGCAACACAGGTTTGAGCAAGCAGCCTTCCCTTTCTGCCCTCACTGCAGCGCCCGCACGTGCTGTCCCCAGTCGGGACCAGCGGGCAGGACATCCAGTCCGTGGCACAACTGGGAGCAAGCCGACGGCCCCAGCGTAGAGCCTGAGGTCACGGGCACAAGTCATGCAGGTCCCTTAGGTGCGGTGCCACCGCCAGTCCCCAGAGCTGACCACAGCTGAGGCACGGATGCTGGCTGAGCAGGCCCAGGGCGAGGGGGATGTCGGAGGCAGCTCTCCAGGTGGGAGGCTGCAAATTCAGTCCCAGAGCCCCCAGGTCCCACAGGGCTGAGCCCCTGGCTCGGGGCACTGGGGAGGAGATGGCAGAGACTGGGGAGGAGAGCCTGGCTGAGGCGGTGGTGGAGGGGGCCAGGCAGGAGGCGCGAGCAGTGGCTCTGGTGCTTGTTAGCTGATGCTGCCTCCCTTCAGGCTCTTACAGGAGACTGTCCCCAGCTTGGTCAGGAAGTTTCTCTGCTTCCACTGAGCCACGCAGTCCTCGGAGACGCGGAAGTCGACCTGGGGAGCAGAACAGGGGAGGCAGGGTCGGCCTGGGCTGCCAGTGGTGCCACGCTCAGCCGGTGGGGAGGTTTGTCTCCTCCACAGCTTTGCGGACAGGAGCAAACATGGGCAGCAAATAGCTGATTTGGGGTCACCCAGAGGGGGACAGCGGCATCTACGCGGCCCTAAGCACTGCCCCACGCGATGCCTGGCGCCCCAGCTACTCCGAGCTGTGGCTCAGCTTCCCCCCCGGTGCAGCCCCTCACCTGCAGCTTCTCAAAGACCTTCTTCTTCGGCTTGAGCTCGTCCTCGGGGTTCCCGTCCTCGTAGCCCTCCACGTAGACGCGCTCCCCGGCGCAGCACC